AATATATTCAAGAGGTGATGTGAATATTCCTCCTTTTTAGAGGAAGAAAGTCTTTGTTTTTTCGAGATGAAAACAGCCGCATATAGGATTGTTCATATTCAGAAGTAACCACTAAAATGACTCGGAACTCGAGGGTATTAAACTTCATAGATAGCTTAAGCACTGATGGGAATAACCTTGAAGATAACGTAGTTGTAAAAAGTTGATTGTATCAACACCATGCAACGGAATTGAAATCTTGCTTTACATATATTCCCTAAACAACTCTACTTCCAGCCACAATTACAAATGTAGGGTCTTTTAAAAACTCCTCCCAGCATCAACGGTAGTCAGATATCATGATGGTCGATCAGATCGTTCATCTCTCATTTGGTCTTAACAACGATATTTTTAATTTTCTTAATTGAAAAGAGGGTTGTATCTTTGATATTCGCATTAAATTCGAGTAATGAGTCAAATTGAGTAATGTGAAACAAAAACTGTCATTAACTTCAAGGTTTCCAAGCATTTCAGCCATCGCTTTTCATCAAAGCTCGGAACGCACGGCACCATGATCCTTTTTGTTCAAATACTCCTGAAAAGAGATTTTCAAAGATGCATATCGATTTCATGTCAACAGCATCCATCGAAGAGGGCAAAGTGAATATGTTACGGAATTTGACAGATGAAATTTCTAATTCGATTTCCTTGTAAATAAACTTGAAGTAACGACAGCTGTGATCACTTAGTGGAAGTAGCCCTACACTTTCTGAAATTTAACATCTATAACGAGATTGCGAATGCATGCATTTTTATTTTAAATAAGACCTCGCTAAATGCATTTGCCTTGACAGATTCTTGATTTCTCACGCCCTCTTTTAATCGGAAATACGAAAACGTCAACAAATTTTCATTAAAAAAAAGAATATGCAGCACGAAAGTATGGGCGTTTTCAAAGACGTAACCGAATTTTCTGAGTTTGGGCAGCAAAATTCGACTCCCATTTGCCGAAGAAAAAACGCTGAGAATCTTGTATCCCACCTTACACGGAATGCCTCGATTTTGTTGCTAGAAGGATCAACATCTGCGTGGTTTTTCAGTGCGATTGAATCTTTATTCAGGGCTGAAAATCTCTAACATACTTATTTAATTGTTTTCTACAAGTCAGGGATGACTGTAGGAAAGTGCAACATTTAAAATCACCATTGTAACATACATTTAGCTAGAAGAAACGTGTAATCAAATTCTTTAGCGCATGCATCCTTCATATTCCTTAATGAGATGAATGTAAGCATCGAAGCCGAGTAAAGGGAGTCCTCTTCAAAGGATATTCAAACTACTGCGTTGAAATTGCCTTGAAACAGTTAGTTCGGGCGTTAGTTGTGCGTTTATCCAGACACGAAGCATGCGAGAAGAAACTCTTAAATAAGGTATCTCTCGTTTTCTATAAACTTCTTACATGTTTCTTATTTCGAAGAAAGAACGCTGAAGTTAGAACCACGTGTTATAATAACTTCGAGTTAAAAAAAAAAGCTCTATATTCTCTTTTCATCAGGAAACTATTACAATAATTATTTTAGGAAGACAAATATTTCTTAGTTTCCAGTAACAAAGAGAGGTATTTTTCCTTCACGTTTGATGACTTTGCGGAAAATTGGAGGACATAAAAAAGAAACCAGTCTTGCACAATAAAAGAAGTGAGTGACTTTACACCATAAGAAAATCTTTCCTTGCAGATCGCTTATTCCTGATTCAACTCAATGGGTAGAAGTTCTGTTTGGATATGTTTGCAAAAGGATAAGTGATTACTAATGATCAAGACCAAGATAATTGAAGGGCTATCGAGAGAAACTGAACAGCAAAAATGCGGTCAAAATATTTACGAAACTAAATAGCAAACAGAACCAAATTAATTTTGACGTTTTGAGAGCCTCTTTCTAGAAATACAATTGATGTTTACAGTGGCCTCTGTTGGGAGAATTGTAAAAGATGCACAATTTGACTGTAAATTACTAAATAATTTTCGCTTTTGACAGTATTTTTGTTTTTCAACTGAACCGAAATAAAACGGTCAAGGGAGGCAGAGAAAAACATGAATTCTAAGGAAACAAAAATATATATGAGGTGAAATACAAGATCTCAGGTAAGAAATGTAGTCCATTTCTGAGACTCGCTCGTTCGAGAAAAATTGTTTTTTATCATAAAATTGCTTTTTTTTTTTTTTTTTTTTTAGTCTAGATAACACTTTCTCGATTAAAAAAAAATTGTTCAGTGTATAAAACATACAAACGAGGTATCCATGGTCTTCCTTAATGTTTGAAAAAAAAAATTTCTTCTAATTTGCGGCACTGGTACTTTTTTGTTGAAAGGCAATCAAGCAGCGTAGAATAAGAAATGGAGAGTTTTCATGATTTTTTGTCAATCTATCACCGAAGAGAGAACTAATTTCTCTAAAAACCATGCCACAATTAAATCGAAAATGAGAAAATGGAGGTACATATCACTTATTGTTTTGACAACACTGCATAAATTATGTGAAATGATTTTAAATTTCAATTTCTTCCCACTGTAAAGAGAGAAAATCATACTTGCAAACTGGTTTCTTAGTGTGATGAAGGTAAAAAGGTCTTCCAGCTGTCAAGCTATAAAGTTGATTTTTCGGTTTGTGGTTAAAATCGTTTTACAAAATTACTTTTTCTAGATACAACCGAAGGATTTCACTAAAGACCTTTTTCAGCTGGGAGACGTTTTCACGTTTAATTTGAACATAGAATAGAAAAATTTTAAGAGACACTTTTTAGCTTTCTTTTTTCTTTTAGTACTCTAACGATATAACATGACGCTGATCAAACGCCTATGAAGACTTGTTAGCGATAGTTTTTGCGAGACGTCAATTTCTATTATTTCTGCGAACAATGCGAAGGTTTAATAACAATAGGCTTTGCGAAACTCCTCATTAAAAAGTTTTTGAAATAAAAGTTACTTCGATTGCAGTATGTAAGAGTCCCTGGCGAAAATGGAATGGGAGGGTCCTTATTGTTCGAGTCTTTTTTTCGTAAGACGAAGAAAAGCTTATCAGTGAAGAGCGCATTAAAAAAGCCGGAACACCACTGACAAAAAGGTCGAACCTCATGAGGACTTGGCAGACAACGACCGACGTCTTACTTCACTACTGAGAGGTGAGTATAGTAAAAACTTCGTGTATAGGTCGATATGCAGCATTGCGTCGTTAAAAAAAAGGGTCTCGAAAGACCTATACAAAGCTAATGACATAAAGCAGTCTTATTGTCGTACTAGACAAAACAACTAAGCTATAGTCGCAAAATACGAATGAAAGAAAATGGAAAAGCTTCTAAGGAAAGAGAAAATAATAGAATCTGTTCTTTACGTCTTTGAGGAGAGTAAGATCGGTTAATATGGAAGGTTCTAAACGACAAATCCGTTGTGAGATGCGTGTCTTTGCGAATGCAGTGATGTACAGTTACGTAAAAAATTGACTGTTTATGATTCAGATCAAGCCCCTTTTTTATTTTTATAATTATTTTTTTTCAACTATTGGGGCCCTTTAAGTTTCTCTCTCTTTGACGACTGGTTATTGTTTCAGTCAACCTTGATAAGAAGAGGTAAGCCGCAAAAAAAAAAAAAAGTAGTTTCATTCGATGACATTTGAAAAAATGCGTGTAACGGAAGTCTTCATACATCTTGACATCTTTCCTCTTGCAGTAACAAACGCCAAGACGAAAGAACTGGAAAATGCAAGTTTCAATCGCGTTGTTATTTACAATAGCTGCTCTGTCGTTGGTGTCTGTTGCTGTCAGAGGTTCGCCAATCTTCCATGTCGATGATAGTGCAATATCTGTGGAGAACCTTTTAGCGAGAGAAAGCAAACAAGGACAGGCACGGAAGCGGATATGTGGAATGTCCCTTTATGGCTGCAGCAGGGTAACTGAAGCGTTTATGCCCTAAGAGAAAGGCTACACGGGAATGTTTTTCCCCTTCTCCCGAGGTCAAACTTTTCAATACCCTTAATTTTTTCATGAATTTTGACAGATTCAAACTCCATTTTCCAAAATTACAATTTAAAATGGTAGTCCTTTCACAAGTAACCCATGCATCCCATTTGAAGAATAAGAACGATATAAGTAAATCGAATTTAGCGAGGGATAGTTCAGTGGTTGTTTTTCTTGTCCATTCTTTTGATTCGACATTCAACTCGGAAAACCATCCGAACTAAGACATAAACCAACAATTAACTCAACCCATGATTGGCGGATCACAGCAATAAATGGCAGTTGAGTGCTCTCGCCACTAGCGCTATTTCTTCTCCTCTGATGTTACTACGGGATTATACTGTAACACGAGACCCTCAAACGCCTCTTTACAATTCCCAAAAACACATTCCCCTGTCCTTTCATGAGCGTCAACTATTGAAATCCCTCTCATTTGAAGCCTGACAAGTGAACACCTATAGGACGGACTATCCCGTAAAAAGCCGGAACAGGGTGACCACCTATCCCAAGACACAGGGAAGAATAGATAATTATGTAATCATGTTTTGCGCCCCTGTTACCGACCTCTTCATTCTTTGTAATGCAGCCATTACAAATAATTAATACAAGATGCATGTTTTTCTGTTGAACACAGTATAACAAAAGATCATGGTTGGAACAGTTGAACAAAAAGCGTATTTACGGGGCTTACCCACCGTTCGGAGAAGAAGCAATCAAGTCCACGAACACGCGAAGAGGCAACTTATTACTAGAATACTAAATATGGAAAGGTTGGGTCTTGTCACAAGACTGGTGTATCTAAAAACGCACAAGTGAAATAACCTATAATGCAATAAATAATTATTCTTACACTAAAGAAACGTCTCTTGAATGACTCAACCGCTCATCCTAAGTTATCTAACGTTTTCTCACGGTAGCAAGTCTCTTCATTTCGCATTTTCCGCCCAATGACAATGGTAGTTGCATTCAAAACCAGCTTTAAAAAGTTATACTCGATAAAAAAAAGTCATACTCAATAAAACAACAATTTTAATTCTGTATTTTATCGACTATAGTTTCTCTTTGTCATTACCATAAACACTGAAGGGAATCGAACCGCTTTCACTGGTTAAAACAAATTGACGTTGGTATTTCATACTTTGTTCACCTAGAGTTTATGGGCATTTCATTTCTCTGTCAATCTCTAACGTATGGTAGAAATTACGTGAAAACAACCCACTGAAAACGAACAACCACTTAACAATACAGTTTATCGCATCGGCGTCAGTTTCCGACAATTTTAAGAAAAAAAATTTTTTTTTCAATCTACCACTACACGGAAAATAAAATGCAATTCCATTTTTTTTTCCTCAAGGAACAAACCCCGAGTAATATGAATTTGTTAATCAGCTAGGAAATCATCGTCATCGTCATTTAAAAGGTCATCATCATCTATATTGAGGTCGTCCTGCGAACAGAACAGAAATATGCAACTGTTACAGAGGACTGCAAAATTTAATTTACTAGGAGTAAAAAATTACTATGAAAAATGTTTAAAGGGGGAGAAATAATAGAATTTGTTTTGAAAAATGAAAATAGCATGAAAGTACCGCCGGTGACTTTTGCATCAAATATTCAACAAGAAAGCACCTCGTACTGGACATAAATTGCTTTAAATAAAAGACATTGCCGTACGTTCGTGAGTATAAGGAAAAGGTTTGTGTTAAAATACGAAAAAGGAATAGCATACTGAGACAAAAACTACCAGATAAAAAAATTGTCCCAAAATCAATGCTTTAAAAGGATCTAACTGAAATTTTTATCTCAAATTCAAAGTCAGCAATCGGTTGTAAGCTACAGTAGTGGTAACAATAGCAACAGTTGTAGCCATTAAAATTTGGCACATCACAAAGACTTTGTTCGTTACGTGTCTGACGGAATTGAGATAAGGATCAATAAAACAATAGTAACATTTTGGGAAACTTACGTCTTCGTCATCGTCCTGACCACCGAAGTCGAAATCGTCGAGTTCGTCTTCGTCCTGTAATGCAAGGTACAGCAGGATTTTTTTCAACTGTTAATACAAAAGAAACGGACTGGGCATTAACCGAACAGGAGAGAGGGAAAGAGAAAGAATGGAAATCACAAAGGAACAACAATTTTTTTATTAGAAGAAGAGATAACTGTTAATACAAAAGAAACGGACTGGGCATTAACCGAACAACAGAAGATTCGGTATCCGGAGTAGAGCCTGGATTGTTCAAAAATCAGTGTAACCTACAGAGATTCCAGTCGGCGGGAATGAATGGAAATCACAAAGGAACAACAACAGTAACCTCTCTCTCACCTTATCATCCTCGACTGCAGGTTTCGTATCGGCAGCAGGACTTTTCACGGGTTCTTTTTCTGCCGCTGGAGGTCTAGCCGCTGGCGGTCTGTCCGCAGGCGCAGGAGGCGGTGAAGAGTGGGTTGCGGCTGACGATCTGGAAGCCAATGAGGGAGGTGACGGCTCGATTGGTTGGGATGCAGAAGGTTCACCGAAAGACAAACTTTCTACCGAAGCCTGAAATAAAACCACGTAGATATCTAATGCAAATGACTAAGACAACGAAGGTTTGAAATCGGGACATTAAACCGAGGATTTACACGGTAAGGAGTTCCGCCATGTTTTGTACACCTTGGCATATTGACCTTTTACACCTCAACGTTAACACTCATACTCTCCACACTGTTCTATTTACATTTCTTATGTTACCGACTAGGAGAATTTGTTTGACAATCAGGAGCTTCTTGAACTGGTGGAAATTTCCTTTACTATTCGTTTCAAGGGTGACACTGTAAGAGGAAATTAGAATTCAGTCACCCTTAGGGCAAGGGGTTAAGCTTAACGTCCGCAGGTTTGTTGGTTGTAATTGCTATTAATTTTCTTTCATTTCATTTTCTTCTTTGCTATTCTTAACTCTTCGGTATTGACCCACCATGACAATCTATCACTTAAGGGTCCCCTTTAAAAGATCGTCAATTTTTTAAGACTCAAAAAAGCAAAGTAACATGACAACAATTTAAACCACAAGCTGAAAAAATATCTCACCAGAATTGAGTCCAAGCTTCCATCTTCCTTGGCTGCTTTCATTTCTTCAAACACATCACGCTCAGAGTTACTCTATAGATGAAGAAAAATTGCCACACAAATCAAGGTCCCATATTTGCCAGTGTCAACAGAGAGGTAAGCACTGTAAAGTCAAACCTTGTAGGAACGGATTCCCTAAACTATAAAAAGTAAGATGCAGAGAAGTTGACACGTTTACGGCTGTTATTGGATGACAAAAAGGTTGCGAAGATGCGCCTAAAGGGCAATGTAAGAATACAAAGAGCCATTTACCAAAGTAAGTCTGTACACCACGCAAACAATCTTACCGGAACATGCTTATACTGGGCAGCAGGTTTCATTTGCACTCTTTCCCGCTTCAGAAACTGGAAAAAATGAGTACAGAGACATTTTTTTCAGAAACTTGAACATTTTCAACAGCAAGCAGAAAACAGACGTTGACAAAAAACAATAACCTAATTAAGAACATCTGGAAATTGAGAAAAGTCCTTAATCTGACCTGCTCCGCTTGCAAAGCTTCTTGAAATTCGGGGAACAGATTCTCATATTCGGAAGGATCTGCCAGAGAATCAGCAGCCTTTTTATTGACTTTCGCTAAATCTTCTTTCCACAATTGGACGATCCTTAAAACAGAACAAAATGGTAGATATACAGTTAAAGTATTGTAATATTCCCTTGAGCTGAAAAAAATTATTAACTACTCTTCACGGTCCACTACATGGAGAAATCAGATGAAACAAAACTTCTTGTATCATCTCGTCCCACTAAAGATAAATAACCGAATAAATATATAAATCAAATATCATGTTGTCATAAATATATCTGTTGAAACTTGATTCACTTCCTTCGCCATCAACATCGACTAGAAAGGCGACAAGCTTCACTTGTGATTACTTTCTGCACTTTTTGTAGTTAGGAGTTTATGTGATGGAATCGAGCCACTTCAGTTGACTTGCTCCATTCACAAGTGCACCCTTAACAATGGGGATGTTCAGTTGTATCGGGGATTTCTGAAGCAAAACAAGAAAGCTACATTGCATCGAAACAATTTTGTGATATTTTTACTATGCATGCAATTGATGTCAAGCAATTATATATGGTCATGTTTAATACGCGTACGTAAAGTAAACAGACTTAATGGAAACTTCCAAGCAGTACTGTAGTTCCAACTGTTTCTCTTTTGTTTGTAGAGAGCCAAAATTCCGTATTTATTTTGGAAAAGTTGAACTCTGCCTATCAAATTAAGGGTGAAGAAACTTACTTTGACACATGGCTTGGTAAGTAAGTACGAGCCATGAACGCTGCCTCTGGATACCGTCCCGTGCTGCATAGCAACTCAATACCTTCTTCCAGCCTGGTGAAATAACAAGGTACATCAGGTAACGGCATAAGTTTTTGGAAGAAGATGAGGAGGATATTTGCAGTAATAAACACAACTTAAGCAGCAGTGAAAAAAATTTTAGACTGTGCGGGAGTTTAACCCATGACGCGTGACCTCTGTGATACCGATGCCGTGCTCTACCAACTGAGCTACTAAGCCAAGTGGAAGCTGGTCACTTTATTGCATCGTACACGAGGACGTGCATGACCTGGCGAATTTTTGATTAGCACACACAGTGAAACCTGCATGACGAAGAGCAGACCTTCCTTCGTTAGTCTACTCGTCGTGTCTTCGAGCCAGATATTTTTCCCGTCAGTAAGTGCAAATTTCGCTCTGACGATGGGCTAAAGCTCGAAACGTCAGCTTTTGAAAATTATCACGGTGGCCAATATATACTATCAACTAAATTGAAAAATCAAATTGTCTTGTAATACCCTCCATCGACGCAGCACCACAGTTTATTCAGTAAGTACGTAATCTCTACTCAAACACTTAAGTTCAGCTAATCAATTTTTTTTTTTGTAAATACATGTACTCGACATACATGCACACTGTACGGTTAGAACACGTCATTTCGGGTTCTCTGCTTGGATTTTTTTCAAACCCTCCCGAACACAGAGCTAAAACATTCAAGTCGTAGTTCTGTTCGTCCATGCAGTTCAACAAAACAGACCAATTGGCAACACTAAGGGGAGCGAGCATTCCATCTTCCATTTGACTCATCCTTCCTAATTGTAAACCTGAATAACAGGGTAAAAAGACACGTTATCTACCTTCCGAGAAGGAAATATGCCAAAAAGGCCACGTTGTTCTTGCCCTTGTTAGCAGATGTCTCTGCGAGTCGTAAAATCATGTCAGCATCTCCAGCCGATGTGGCCAGTAATAGCAAGCCTCCGAAATCCTGTGCGTTTATCAGACACTCCTGAGCCAATTGGAACTGACACTTGGAGATGGCCAGCTCTGCCAGCTGCTTCCACTTGTGCTCACTCTGGAAGAAACAAAGAAAAATCAATTCATCGCAATTTACATGTATATCGGACAAAATGTATTAAAACAGAGCGAGTCTCACGGTTATCTTTGCAGTTTGGTGCACTTACACAGAACGAGAATGACTAAATTATTGGTAAAAGATGTGACACTGAAGAAGGAACAAATATTGCCTGATGAAATCTCCTTCCACATACTCTTTTTGTTATAAAGGTTTTTAACTCAATGCATTGGCATCACAAGGAGATGTTGTATTAAATTAACTTCGGAATTGCTTAAAAACTGTACTAAGCCAGGTCAGGACAAAAAAAAAATTTGTAAAGTTTACCTCAGCTTCAGAAGCAATCTCATAAGCAATCTTCAGTTCTGAAAGTTGTATTGCCAGATCAAACCTGATAGAGAGAAACAATATTAAAATCAATCTTCATTATACCCTTCCTTCCCGTCAACTTATGATTGAGTGGCACAGTAATTCTCATGGATCTCAAAATTACCTTTATTCATAAAGGCATTCCTAACATCAAATCTTCAACTTAGTCAATACTCTATTAAGTAAAAGGAATACGCAACAGGTGGCACATTTTAAAGTGGTCTAAAGAAGCACCCTGCGTTCTATCCTTAGGGTCCAATGTGATTGGTTACCACCATGTCGCTATGGCTTTCTCTCTTCACCTTCATTTACAATTGCTCTTAATACTCATTGCCATGGAAAATGCATTGCATTTTAAATAAAACAAAATTAAAAGAAAACGAATCAGTGGTTCGATAGAAGAGTAGTCACCTGTGTTCTGGGTCACAGGACACTGCCAGAGCTTGCTGCTTGAAACCTTGTTTCTCTAAAAAGTGAGCCACACGGTTTCGTTGTTCTCGCGGAATGGTGGGAAGAACCTAGATAAAAAAAATAATAAGAACAGAATTGCTTAGGCCACCACGCCTCCATCCAAAACAGTGACAGAAGAACCACACAGACCTGCATCATGACACAACAGAAAATATCACAATACCTCCAGAATTATTTAGCCTGCATGTTCAGTATAGAAAAGAGGTGGTAAAGGAAGGGGGTGAGAGGATTTGAGAACAAAGTGCAATCATAAGAATCTGTTACAAACGCTTGTGCCTCACACTTAATGAACGCTCCCTCTTCTACCTCCTTGTAAGGCAGCCAAGCAGGCTATACTTTCTCAGAACATCCTGAGTTGGGGGACGCGTTCAATGGCCAGTATGAGACTGTACCTGTTTTGCTGTGTCAAAGTCTTCCCTCATCACGGCTGTCTGGTATTCCAGGACTGACAGGAGCAGGGAGTAACCCACAACATTCATGTCTTTGTCACTTAGATAAAGCCTGTTGTCTTTGGGTATGTAACCAAGGAGGTACATGGTCCTGAGAGGTAAAGATGTAATCACAGAATAAACCACAAGAAGACCCAGGCCCTCACCATTTGCACTGCAGCACTAGCGTTTTTTCCCTCCCATGGAAGTTTGAGACCTGGAGCAAAGCGAGCTAACCAAAGCTCTGCAAGGGGTCTGGCAGTCATTATTTGCACCAGACCCCTTGCAAACCTCTCTCTGGCAAGCTTTGCCAAACAACTCAAACTTCGTCAAGGACAAAGAAACACTTGTGCTACAGCGCTGATAATGATCTGCTTGTAGGCTAAATCAGAAACCTGTATGCATGCATGAAACGTTTCAAAACATTTCCTTGTCATGTACAGTATATTGCTTACGAATTGATGATAACGTTAAGTGATCAAACATGTTCAGAAAAAAAATTATCTCTCATTTGCCCTTGGAACATTATACAAAGATATGAACAAACCTGTCTAAGTGGGCAATGGTGACAATTTCACCTCCAACATAGTAATTCAAACGATTCACAGCATTGGTGTAGATGAAACAGTCTCCAACCCAAATACCAGTCTTCACAGTATCCTCTATTTCGCCACAAACCTAAAACAAAAATAGTAAATGGACGGTTCCTACATCAACTGATTTTTAAGTACACAACAATCACATGAATACTGTGCATGTTGAAACATGTTCTCTTCATATGATTTCAGCTGAAAAAAGTAGAACAATACAGAACAAAATGGATGGCTCTTGCATCAGCTGATATTTCAAGTACACGTAACAGTTATATGTTGAGATATCTGTTCTACAAAGGCAATGTAAGCCTGCAGCAAAGCAACAAACAAGCATTTTTAATGCTTCCTTGACATCTCACAATCAAAAACTGAGTGTTAATCTTACATCAAAAGCATCCTCAATGCCATCTTCAGTAATGGACTCTGGATTTTCCTGAGCTTTGGCAACATTCTCAGCAACATACTTCAGAATGAAGAAGGACTCATCTGTGGCTATGCAGCACAGCTCACCACTATCAGCCCAATAAATCTAAAATGAACATGCACAGTGCAGTGAGACATGAAAGTTGCATGTATATTTACACTTCCTTGCTGTATCATGAACTTTATGATTATTGACATGAACACGCACAACTGAACCAATAATTTGCACAAAATTAATCACCTGGTGAGCAATAAGACTTAAGTATAAAAGGGGTAAGTTTCTTAAAAAACTGTGGATCTGCACTGATGGGAAGTGGTGGGGGGGGGGGGAGGGGTGGAGGAGGGAGGGGGAAGAATAACAAGATAATTTGGTTCTATCAACTGATTTGATGATATACATTGTACACTGTAAGTTGGCCACTTAAGAGGGATTCTAAAGCTGATGATTTGAGGTTTAGCTCTTTGTCAGAGCAAATAGAGGAATTGTAGGTTGTGTGTGGTTTACATACAGAAAGATGGAGCTACACTATTGGTGGGAACATCATAAAATGAAAACCAAAAGAATAAATAAGTTGAATGCAATTTATAGTCTATGATATCTAGAAGAATATTCATATAATTTAGTTTAAAAGAACAACTTCAGTTCAGTTAAGAAGTAAAGTGTTCCCTGTAGTGCACATCTTTTCTTCTGGACGGTGAAAATTAAACAACTTACATTCTTTGGCTGAATTTCAATCCTACGGACAAGATCTGTGCTCTCCCAGTCAAAGAAAGCTAATCCACCAACTGACTTCACTCCAAGAAGATGACCACCAAATATGTCTGATGTAAAAATTAATAGATTGTGTAAGTTATGAAGGTCATTAATACAAGTGTACAGCTGTATGGGAGAGGACCCTCTGATAGGATTCTGAAAACATGGTTGTCAGAAATGAGCTACAGTAGCAATCAAAAGTAAGTGGACAGCCTCTCAAATCAAGATCCTAAATACTTTAAGACTTCAGTAATCAAATAGAATTGTTCCCTTGAAACTGCAGATTGAGATCGTTGGTTCTCAATCCTCTATTACCAATCCTCAATCCTCCATCTTCTATTCTATATCCTTGATTCTCAATTATCAATCCTCAAGCGTTGATTCTCAATTTTGCAATCTCTCATGTTTCACGAGGTCCCACTCAGATCAAGTTTGACTGCACATACATGTACATGTACATTGTGGTGACACAATGAGTTGCTCAGGGAATTTGGGAGGTTCAAACAGAACACATGCTACACTTACTTTCTGCACCAAACTCAGGTTTGAATGACTTCCTTTCCTTAAAATTTTTAAAGATCTTGATTTTGTTTCCATCTCTTATGGCATACCTGAAAATGGAAAAATACATAAATGTAAATAAAAACAGTATCTTTAAATTCACCCCTTTGGCAACCAATCACTGTATGGTCGAGCCTTCCACAAAGAAGTCAGTTTCTTCCACATCAGGGCAATAAGTAAACAGTCTAACTTTAATACAGAAAAAGCAGTCTTAAGGCTTAGAGTTCACTTAAGTTAAACAAATCCTTTTACCAAAAGCCTGGTAGGTTTCATTGGGCTTCTTTCTTCTTTTAAAGTTAAATAACATCAACCCTTAAAAAGGTTACTATAAATGTAGACACACTACATATGCTAAATTTCATGTCTTATATAAAACAGGCCACAGAACATTACATACTCAGATGAATCAGAAGCCCAAACAAATTCCTGTGCTGATCCAAAACTCTTATTCCTCAGTGCCATTGCTGTGTAAATGATGTACTCTCCATCACCACAAACAACAACAAATCTGCAAAAGAAAATTAATCAATAAACAAAGAGTACAAATTACATTGCCAACATGTTATGCTGATCACCTTGGCTTTGGAATTCGACAAATTAAATATTGTACCTTCCATTTGGATTGTGGGACAATGTCTGGGGGAACATCTCACATGGCCCCATGTCTTTGATTGCCAGAGGAAGACGTTCACCATCTTTAACATCATAATCTAAAAAAAAAGAAATACTAAAAAGTTTGATCACTCATAAATATTTTACTATGGTTTATAAAGTGTTTGGTTTAAGAATAACCACAGAAAACAAAGTGGAGACATGGATAAACACTTTTCCCAGCATGCAACACCAAAGCATAACAGTTACATGTTTGTAAACAATTTGCTTGAAGCCATTCAGTCTCTCAGTAATATATACTGTATATTTTAAAATTGTTTTTGCATATGACAGGGTCTGTGTTGAATGATGATATAGTTAACAATTCAACTCCCAAAAGTGATTAAGAAGTAACTTCCAAAAACATCCAAACAATATCCTGCAAACAGGTAATAAGAATACTTAAACTTATCAGTTACATGCAGAAGTTGTTATCCTGATATAACACCAAATCATTGAAACTAATTTACAAGCAAATGTGTAGCAACTGGAGGGAAGGATTGAGGATTAATATAAAATCATTTGTTACAGACCACACTCAAATGCCAGTTCACATTACATGAAAAAAAACTACCACATAATACAGAGCACATACAACTGTTCCAAATGCTCATGTTAAAACTTACCAGCCACATTTTTCAGGTTAGCCTGTTGAATTTCACTGTGCTTTGCAAATATGATTTTACCATTGGAATCCATAGACATTGCAGGCTCTTCCCTGCCAAGCTAAAGGTAAAAGAGAATCCACAACTTTGAACCCACACTAACCCCAAATATCTAAATAACAGATTTCTGTACTGTCAGTCATACAACTCTAATAATCTTACCACTGATAAGTTGGTATTTGATAAGAAAGTCGTTCCCTAATTGATGTTTTTCTTACTCCTCACCACCTGTAAGTTTTCAGATGTAAATGTACATGTTTGTATTTATCTTGCCCATCAGTAAAGTAGGATACAAACCTTGATAAGAATGCTTCCTTCATCATATCCAAGTGCAACATTGTTTGAGCCTTTAAGCATAGCCATGCTCCAAACTCTTTCTAGACCATAGTTAAGGGTGCTCTCCAGGCGGTATGTATTGGCTTGCCAAATGCGCACAGTACCTTTGGTAATGATAGGAATTACATTCAATTTACATATACACATCCAAAATCTGATGAATTAGTGTTTAACCACATTGAAAACAGTCAAGTTATCAACACTTCCATTTTTAACAGTAACCATCCATCATCTTACTGACACACAGAAGAAACAAGATTGTTACATGTGTATATATAAAGCTGAACATACCATCCTCTGAGCCAGTCAAAATGATTGGCAATTCTGGGTGAAAACCAACACAAGAGATGTTCTGAGCATGTCCCTCAAGTGTTTGAACACAAGTTTTATTCTGAAATGCACAAAAAAAAATCAGTCACTGCTTTAATCAATATACACTGTAAAACTATCCTCCACAGACAAAAGTAAAGGAAAAGAAAAGAAAAACCTTTGCACTACAAGATACATGTTTAGAGAGTCATTAACAAGTATTACACGATAGTGTAATTAACTTAACAGCCATTACTCACAGTGCCATAGGGATGTAGAGAAGTTGAACGAAAGAAAAGGAAAGAACTACATGCCTCACATATTTAACTCTTTAACCCAAAAGCGTGACCAGCACCTAATTATTCCTTACAGTATAGCTGCTGAACCAAACATTCAGGTCATGCAAATAAAACTAATCTTGATTGTTAAATACATTCCCCTTGTCTGTACCAAAGGTAATGAATAGAGTATAGTATGGAGATTTAAGCATTTTGATGCTAGGATACAATTGTGCATGTAAAAGGTTATGGTAAAACAACCAAGAAGAATTAAAAGAAAACAAATATTTACCTGATAGTCCCATATTTTCACAAGTCTGTCATCAGCACCAGAAATAAGATAGGGCTTCTCTCCTCCATGAAAATAGTCCACACAATTTACCCCCTGATAAGAGAAAATTTACAGTTTGTTAAAACAACAAAAAGCAGAGTTTTTAAAAACGTGATAGACACATATACATGTACATAATTTATGTGTAATAATACAAATTGCAACAATCAGCAGGAGTAAAATTCAAAATACAATTTAAATAATAAAGGAACATAAAAGTAAAATACATACTCTGTAAATATATATTTAATTCTTGCTTACACTACCTTTTCATGACCCTCCAGAGTGAAGTTTGGCGTGTTGGAACCCAGCTGCCATACCTGTGGTAACAAAACAAAGCAAATGTGTTAATAAAGCTGCGTGTACCAGCATAGAAAGGAAACTCTGCTGTCATTAACTTTAACTGCATGTGTCCTCTTTATGTTAATATAACCCTTTCACAAAGGCAACAACTTGCTGCTATGTCCTCAATCTTAGTAAAAAATTCGGAGTTTGAAATCACCTCAAAACATTTTGAGCAGCATTCAGTACACCTACCTTGATTGTTCGGTCGAGAGAAGCACTAGCAAACTGGTTATTATCCTTGGGATTGATGACGATCTGCATCACATAATGGGTGTGCCCTTCAAACACTTGACTACATTGCCACTTCTTGTCCCAGTCCCAAAGTTTGATCAACATGTCATCTATGAGAGAAAAGGAGCAAGAAAAAGTATAAGGAAAAAAACCAAAACAAAAACAGGAGCTCTTTACATCTGTAAACAACCAATAAACATGCGTCAAGGGAGGTACATGGATAATACAAGTGAAAAATAATTGAGAAAAGTGTTCAATCCAGGTGTAACCCTTTCACTCCCACAAGTGACCAAGGCAGAATTTCTCCTTACAATATCAAAACAATATCAAGCAGGTAGGTGATGAGAATAGAGAAGAATATCAATTATGGGATCATTAGTTGATCCAATACCAAATTCTCTGAACTAACATCATAAAAATTGTATGGCAGATAGTAAGGAGAATTATTAATTAGATCTTGGGAGTGAAAGAGGGAAAATTAAAGCTCAGCTGGTATGTTTAATCCTTTTAATTCCAAAATCAGAATGATGAGTATTTCTCCACATCCCTTTGTAGGCCTCTCCTGAAAATACAACATTACCATATATCCTATCGAGAAATCCTCTTATTGATTTATTCTTTTTACTCTTCATCTGGCATGAACAAAACATTAGAAAGAGAGTTTACAAGCTGAGCACTGCTGGGGGAACCAAGGGAACTTTTTCTACTCACCACTGCTTGTTAGAACATATGGCTGAGTTGGATGGACAGCAATTGAGCGCAAGTAATCGGAATGAGCTTCAAAGCCATGAACCTGTAAAAAGGATTGCTCTGTTACATGAACAAAAAATTCATTAGAGAAAATTCAAACAGGTAGATGAACAGATACACTCTGTACATACTATACATGTAGGCCACCTTAAATAAATACCATGACATTCTTTGATATGCAGTTTTGGGTGGTAGATTATACAATGTAATTTTTAATGTACATGTATCAACATGCAATCATGTTTTGCTCTGTATTCTGTCTTCTTTTCACTCTGAATTATTACCTTCTCCAGGGTGTTGTAGTTAAAAACTCTCAGCATCATGTCATCCTACAAAAAATAATAGTTGAATCACTGGTTATTGAAAGAAGTACTCAGAAGTACAATATAAGAAAAGAACACAGAATGACACAACATTTGCTTGGAAACAACATTAGGATCATATTTAAAAGTGATTTTAAAAAGATTATAAAAAAAAACATGGATATAAATAGTACTGTAGAAAATTACTGGAGAGTTCAAAAGCGAAGGAAGCTAAATGAAATTATATACTTACAGATCCAGTCACCACCCAATTTTTTCTTGGGACAAATTTAGAAGTACGCACTGCAAAAAAAAAAAAAAAACAAATAATACATTACAATACACTCATTATAACTGGGCTACATATTATAGAAGCCTTGAGAAGGTAATTTTTCTGAGCAAATAAGGCTGTATGTTCATTTTTTACAGAAGTATTGAGAAATATATTAAACCCTTCAGGGTGTGAAATTAATTTTTTTTTTCAGACAGCCGCTTGGCTCCTAAATTTTTCAAAGTGGTAGCCAATTCAAAAAAACTTGGTCACCATTTTTAAAGACAAACAAAACCTTTTTTTTACGCTGCCAGCGTTCTAGATAGATCTCCAAAATTAGTATCGGTAATCACATGATTTCGAGTGCAATTTGGAATATATAAGCATGAGCAAATTTTTTTAAAGACTAACATAATTGTATGAGCCAGTAGGGCGAGTGCAATTTGTGGTCTTTGAAAAAATTAACAACTGCTTATTTGTTCCAAATTGCACAAGAGTTTCACTCGCAAATTTTCAAATTTTGTTGGGACATCCAAGGCTCACATTTGATTGGCTGTTTGTGAGTTTCTTTGATTATTGACCAATCAGAATGTCTGATTTGTTGCTTTCTTTACACTGAATTAACCCTCTTCTGCACTGAATTACATGAACACTGCATTTATCTTAACCAATCAGAACTGAGTAATTTTTCTATGTATATTATTAAGTTAGAAAAAAACATCTTAACATGCTACAAAGTTGACACTAGGATGGATGATATACAACATTCAAGTTCTCCTAAATCCAAGATGGCTTCTACTTATCAATCAAGATGCGTGTGCTGCATTTTGGAAACAAACTTAACAAGGAAGTTTGCCACAGATTTATCTTTGGAAATCTTTTTAATTCACTCTATATCTAGGTAAGGTTATGATAATAATTTGGCGACTAATTTTCAGGATTTGATTGCCAAAGTGAAAAATTTTGTCAAATCGGTGCCTGTATTACATGCAATTTCACGCCCTGCCCTTTTTACAGTAATCTACTCAAAAACAGATGTCTATGTAACTTCTAATAAAAATAAGCATAGTCAAAGAGAAGAAAATATTCTGGATTTATATTTACTGTATCAAAAGTTCATACCTGGCAGGTCAGTAACTTCAAATGTCTTGACCAATGTCTGTGACTCAAAATTCCACACATGTACATTACCATTATACAAACTTGCCAGCATCCATGGTTCAGTTGGATGGACATCCACACACTTGACTCGGTCAGACCGAGCAGAGAGCTTACGCTGTAAACAAGAGGATAACTAGTGAGCCCTGTTTATAACCACCATACATTTACAGCATAAGTTACCTGAGGCACAATATAGACACAACAATAAAAACAACACTATGCAAACACTGTACATGTAAATGTTTTGAAATAGTAGGGTAGCAATTGCTCGAGACATATTACACTAGCACAAACTACAACATAGCATGGCAGAAATCACTTCTACTGGTAAAAACAAAGACCCTGAACATAGATTTCTAATCATGCCAAAAACTAATGAGCAGAATTGCAAACTTTTAAGCTCCATCATATGTCAGGAACCCTCTTAATTAATGCAAACCCTCTTAAAAAGAGAATAGGAGTTTTCTGGTAATCGAATCACTCAATGTTGAAAGCTGAACCCAAGGTGTATTTTCTACATATTTTTATGCCTTATCAATCCTGACAATTTACTGTAAAGCTGTCGAGAACCGACTTGCTCTAAGGAATAAGATCTTATCACATTATTTCCCCAGTTTACCTTAATAAGATCTATTTTAAAAAGGCAAGATGGCAACAGGAGAGCCAGGGAATACGATCAGGGGCCGAAAATTTCAGAAATAAATGACTGCACATTCCCTAGAACTTACTTGGACACTCGCGGATTCATTAAGCTTATGTACCCTACGCAATGACACAGAAATTGAACACAAAACTAAAGATAAAGGGTATTATTTGTCACTTACCTTTACATCTAGTCTCAAAGGCTACAGATTCCATAAAAATGCAAAAGAAATAAAACAAGTCAGTAAAATCAGTAAGGAATTCTAAACGGGTCACTCGGGTTATTAGGAGAGCAACAAAAACACACAAATAGTAGTCACCGTCGACCAAAAAAACTCTAACCAACAAAACAAAACAAAATGAAATGTGTGTAAATATACATCTGTAGGGTTAAATGCAGATGGACTTTACCATAGTTGCCACAAAAATACGATCAGAGTTTCAAGGAAAGACACTTCTAACCGGTCAATATGGCCGACGTGGCACTGAATATGACCCTCGCTTTCGTGCAATTTTTGCGAGACCGCTGTACTGATAGAACGTGGACATAAACCCATGCGAAGCTTGCAACAATCTGCAACAGCGAGAAATTTCGCGCGCTCTCACTTTTTTCAGGTGTCAGATGGTAAACCGCAGAGGAATGAAAAAATGATGTGAGGCAGAATAATTAGCATAGTAAGAGCTACTATAACTGAGACCAAAACAATGCAAACGCGGTAGAAACTGATATGTTCATGCTCACCGCGGAGCACGCGCGCGGAGAAGCCTTAAAACTTAATTCGTCATATATTTTCGTCAAAATTAGCGCTTGTGACGTCAAACTTCTTTCACTGCCTTTGAAGTTTTGCAAACGTCGTTGCGACGGTTTGGTCGAGTTATGAATTATCTTTTTATGGCAACGAAGAGGAACCAAAGTCAATAGATAATCGTCTTCTGTGGATCCTGAAATAATCAAGTTTATAAAGCTAAACATCTGGAGTCAACTGCTTCAAATTCACGGAGAAATCTTGGCACCCTGTGGAAGTGAACTACAAGCTTCGCATGTTAAGGCAGTCAGTTTTCGAGTTTTCTTAATGGAATAAAGGTTAGTTGCCATAACTTTACAGATAAACTTAATTTGTTGTTTTGACAAGCTAATTCTGCACTGTAGAAAATTGTATTTCATCGCCGAGTCATGATGAATAAAAAGCAGCAAAGTGAAAAGACGATTTGCTCAACAATGAAAAGAATATTAAAAGAGCGTGGATTCTTATGATTGCAGCGAAAGAACGATTTATATCTGAGAGCTTGTAAATTAGCTTTACCTTTGGCCTTTTGACGCTGCTACATGCCACAAACTTAAAGATTAGAACTGGTGTTGCCAGAGACCATTATTGTTGACTGCAGTTTCCAATATTTCCTTCTTTTGAGCGTTTGCCTTCGATTTGTTGCTATCTCAAGTTGAAGTCCACGGAGAAATTTGTGAGTCGCACATAAATGTTGATCGTACCGGTGAAAACTAACACTGATCTTGACGGATCCTGGTAGCTCGATATTATGATACTTATACAGCGCAGGATCTAATGTTGGAAGCAATCGTTGGACTGTGATCTTTAGTATGCCTGATCATTAACAATTTCAGATCCCAAGATATGAAAGACTACCCTGTTTAATTAGTTAAAGGGGTCTTTATTTGAGAAGATACTAAATAAGATAAAACTAGCTGGGAATGTGCTAAAATGCAAAGGTCATCGTAATTTAGCCTTTTAATTAGGTGGTGCGACCGAATATTCAGCAATCTAACTGGGTTCCTTAAACATTTCCCGTTAGCATAATCCTAAATGCGACTGTCATCAAAGTGTGTGAAAATAGTCCTAGCACTTTGACTGGCATTTCCTTTAATTTTGTAACGTGCAAGCACATCTTGTTTTGATTCTTCTCAAGAAATTTCGATAATCATAGAGAACGCACTGTTTCTAGCTAAATAATATTGACGAATGGACAGGAAGGTGAATAAGAAAAGAACAAGGCAGGAAAAATTAAATGTGGACTAACTTTTGTCATTGTTGGTAGAAATCTTTTGTGCTTACACTCATTGCACCGCTTGCTGTTTCGACTCCGAGCGTGCATTCACAGGTATGTACGAACCCGCTGACTCGAACTCCCAGTGGGAACGAAAAGCGATTCGAGTTCGCGGAAAAAAATTATTCGCGTTAGCTGAAAAAAAAAAATGGTTCGAGTTAGCGGAAAAAAAAATGGTTCGAGTTAGCGGGGGATTGGTGTTGGATTTCAACTATCCCGTTAATAATTAAAACAAAATTAACAATTTGTTTAACCACACTTGCACAGCCATCAGTCATTCTCATACATTCACTTTGCTTTAGAAAAGCTTTTTGATAAAAACTTTTAGTTTGGAAAGTTTAGTTTAACGTATTACGTTTTCATAAATCACGTTTATGTCAATCCTGATTAAAGATTGGGACGTGCTAATCAGCTATGTTCTGACACTTCGAAGTTTATCGACTGACGCCGTTTCTAGTTGAAGTTGGAGATCTCAGGATAAATTTGAACCTAAGGAATATAAAATTATTTCGAGTTTACTAAGTTCGAGTCAGCTGGCAGTAAATGACTGAAAAGAAAGCCTTATTGCTTGAGTTCCTGAGCACGTGCGTCTTCTTTATGTTGTGTGTTTTTTCAAATCGGCGTGCCTGGCGTATGAACTCAAGTGTTAAGTGAGATGTTCCAGTGATCTTTTGTTTATTTTGGTCAATTGATTGAGGAAGTTAAGAGCTGCGAAGGGTGACATATCCGTAACGGTTTAAACACTGTGCGTAGATCTTATGAACCATAATAGAATTGAAGAGCATGCTTTTATCATTGAAGATCACGCGAGTATTCATCATAAATGCTTTTCTAGATCACAGTTAATGCTACTTCGTGTGATCGAACTTGATACTGCTGTATGGATGGGAGAGATGGCCAACCGTTTCATTTCCTGTACTTCCAACTGACGGCTGAGAGTTGAAAATTGATCTGGCTTAGAGGATTAAATCTTTATTTTGGAAGGTTTGCTATCTCTAACAACGCCTTCCAAAAAAAACGCTTTGCATTGTTCATTGATGCAAACCAGTGTAATTGTCGCTGGACATATAAACTTGTGATGAAATGTAAATACTGTTTCTTTTTATTTCACAGCAGCTGTCGCCCACAGGACCCAGGAACGCGCAGCATGTGCAAGAGTGTGATGGTTTTGTTTGTTTTTGTTATGACATTCTTCGAAGATTGTTTTGACTTCCTTGGAACAAATAGTCCTTTTATTGCTGTCACAAAGCAGAGTGGAAATTCCTGGTTCAGCTCGTCACGAAAGCTAACATTTTGTCGTAGGAGAGCGCTTGCTTTCTCAGGGCACCGCGTCTGGTTCAGTGAAGGGCAGGAGATTATTTCCGCAATATATTGAGAATATATCAGGATTTATACTGCCGATTGAAGACTTGGTAAGTTCAAGATTGTCAGAATGAAGCGGCGAAAGAATGTTCCCTTAAATACATATTACCATTTGATAACGACTTAGCGTTTCCAACCATAATTTTGAGTTCCACTTTGTCTCGTTCTAAAAAAAAACAGTTTCCAGGCTGCAGATTTTCTAGGATTACGTCAAGTTAGTTGGCTTACAATCCCGACGGAAATTCTAACTCATTACCCTGTCATAATTTATCTATTGAATAATTGTCTCAAACGTGACACTGAACTTTTCAAAGCAAATTGCTCAATACAATTGTCTGGTTAACTGTGAGTGCGTCAGATTAACTCAATTTAGTCCTTTCCTGAATATCGAGTAGTTTTTACTTTAAAGAAACAAGAGCTTCAAATTTTAAAACAAAACCACTAAAGCCTCCACTTAATTCGAGGGTTTCAGTTTCATCGAAGACTCAACGCGACTTAATTGCCTATTGAAACTTTTACTTTGGGAATGAATGGGTAGGAAATCGATGGCACAAATTCTGGTCAAAAACCATTGTCAGTCTGAGTATATTTTTTGAGCCCCTCATAGCCATCCAATGCACGATATAAGTTTGTTTACATTTTGCTTTTTTTTCCTTTTGTTTGAATCATTAAAAGCAATGGGCATTCCGGCAAGCCGCCCTGTTCATTGTTCAATTTCGCGCCATGTCTCCCTTACCACAAGCATGTCCGGCGGAAGTTCAGGATTGTTCTTAAAATTATTTCTTCTTTGGTGCGTTTTTTACACTTCAATTTATTGTGCAAGTTATGTAACTTTCATGCCCATGTTCAAAACCACATGTTGTGTTGTGAGAGCTTCCCGTGCTAAGGAATAGGACAAGCAGAACAAATTTAATACGTGTGTGGGCGAGAGGTGGGAAGGGTAAGTTGCTGCTCACTAGCTCCTCTCCCATGACTTCACAGACAATTGATGCAATCGGTACAAAGATTTTACACACAAATTGAGTGCCACTCGTCTTAAATCTTCCTGCGGGCGGAGAAACGCAATTAATGAGGGCCTGCTCTTAAGCTAATGAGGGAGGAAAGAAGGATGACAGTGGAAGACCCAGTAGCACCTCTTTTTAGAATAATCACCATCCTCTACATAGAATATTTCGCTTCAATTTGCTCGCAGACGTGGTCAACACACAGCACGTGCAGGAATGTACATGAGTGGTGGTCCATGCTATTCAAGTTAGTAACTCTAAATGTTTTGAGCTGTTCTTTTCATTTCTTCTGTCTGTTGTTGAGCTGATTTCTCAGTCCTCTCTTAGGAATTTAGAACATATTCTGAGAAAAGATAGATTTAGAAGTCAATGTTTTAAGTTCCTTTTAGCCACAGGATTCCTTAATCATCGATTGCTTAAGTCTCTTATTTCTGAGCCCTGCATAAAGGTTATTGCACATCATGTTTAGGTCAAGTAATTTTTTGAGGTGGAAAGCGAATTAAAAAAGATAAACAGAATGCTAGACCATACCTACCCAACCGAAAGTTGGAGAGTTGGTGAGAGGAGGGATCCAGACTCCTTGATTCCATTCCCCCTCGGCCCTTTCTGCCCTTTATTTAAGTTAATCAATGGGTTGATGTTTACAACGACAGAGTAGACAATTTCTTAGGGTTATGGTTAGAATAAAAACAGATTAACTGTCTCGACATTTTGACCGAGTGGAATGTGTAATCATTCTTATTTATCAGGTGAAAGCTTGTGAAAGTAACTGCCAGTAATTACGAAGCAAGTGTCACCCAAAGGTTTCTTCTTCACGACTTGATGGGACCATCCGAGTTTTGTGTGGATTCGTTTCAGGCTCCTTAACTGTTTCAATTTTTGATCTTGATTTCGGTGGAGGATTTGTCAGCTGTCTGGTACGTTTTTTTGCGTTCATTTATTTGTGTATTTACTCGTTAGATTATTTAGTAAGCTGTCAACTTTTCATTTATTTGTTCATTAGTTACACCCTTTCGTGTGACAGGTATGTCGGCTGATAATGTCAGCGGCCGAGAGATTGTCCGAAAAAGA